GCTTTATCGAACGCCTTTTTCCGTAGATGCACAACCGCACCAAACGGAGCCGCCAAATGAGTTTTCCACCCAAGCACTTTCGCCCTCTGCTCTGCTGCAGCGGCTGCTGCTGCCGTTGGCCACAGTCGTAGTGGAAGCTTGGCTGACTGGAGAAGCGTCCGAGTTCTATCCTTGACCCATCGAACTGTAGCCTCCGCCCTTCCATTTCCTTGTGGTACACTTGGTTCTGACCAGGTTCCCAACACTCCAAGATCACGAAGCCAGTTGCGGAAGCCATGACTAAAGAACTCACCCTTATCTGCATGGAAGCGGTATATAGGTAGTCCGCGTGATTGCAGGTACAACACCACATCCTGTAATGCCCGCTTCACGGTGACACCCTTGTTGTTCGGTAGGGCCGTGGCAAAAGTCAAGTAGGTCATCTCTGGAGGAACACAGTCTCCATTCTGCATGATTAAGTCTTGTACATCATCTGGATCATCACATCCTTCTTCACCTTCATCGGGAGGCTCTGAGGGCTGATACTCATCGTCATCAACCACGTCCAGGCTTCCAGCATTGTCCTCACCTGGAGCTCCAACAACTTGGACATGAGGAACCACACTGCTTGATCCTTCAAGCTGCTCTGAGTCACCAAACAACTCACGCAAGTCCTTCTCCTGCTGCTCCGATAAAACCAGCTCCTTGCGGTTCTCCTCTTTGTTCTCTGCGTCGTCCATTCCCTTTGGTATTGCACCTACTCCATCGCCCACTGGTGGAGGATGCCCTGCATACTGCTCAATGAATAACCTGGGGACGACGTACTTCGCGACAAGCAAGTATCGTAGATTCTTTCCCATCGCTCCTTTCGAACCGGAATCAAGTCCTGGACTTAAAGGTCCGGCCACATCCGCAGTCAACACGTAAGCCTCCGGATGGTGCACCCGTCGGTGCTGTCGTCCGACTCCTCGGGACATGACGCAGGTTGCGCAATCCTTCCGGTAAGTAGCATGGTTGTCTCTAACATGCTGCCTCCAACCAATCCCAGAGCCCATACATGATCTTGGTCGCTACGAAGTGGAGCAGGATCATCCTCTGGTAGTCGAACTTCATCCAGGGACATCAGGGCATTCACATTGGTGCCTATTGTGGTTCTATTCCTTGAAGGACCGCCCATTGCACCCTGATCAAACGAGATGGTCCTAAGCGCTCCTTCTCGCTGAAACGCCTTCCGCATCCTCGTGTCCCAGAAACTAACCCCAGCATTCACTGTGGCATGACCAGCGTAGGCCTCCCACCGAGGTCGCTGAACCTGATCCCAGTAGCGTCGGGTTTCTTCCCATGAGGCAACCGTAGGACTCATCCCTGGTTCTTGCACCTCCTCCTCGGCCTGTCTCACCTGCTGTTCCTGATTACGACGCTCGGCTGCGGGGACACCCTCCGGGTACTCAATCATGAAGCCCACATCCCTGTTCTTATTGATCCCGGTGTTGTTCAACTCACGACCCACCTGAGCCACGGCAAACAACCACATCATGCGAGCAATCAACTTTAAGGACTTCACATCTCGCTCACCACCTTTGCAATGCTGTAGGGCTCGACCTGGTGGACCTCCCATAACCACATCCACTTTTCCATTCTTCGCTCCCCACAGTAACATTCGCCATGTCTCATCACGCCAAACATCATGACCACCGCATCTGGCCATATCCAGCTCGATCACTGAGGTTTCGCCTTGGTCCAGCTTTAGCACCTGCCAGTGACCAACATCCCCGGCAAAGAGATGAACCACCCATCGCTTGCTACCCATGACCTTCCTTCGCTGTGCTCGGGTAAGAAACCCATTCAACTTGAAGATGTCCCACCCATATTGCAGTCCTCCACTAGGCACCATTCCTGAAATGCACGCACCCGGAAGGTCCTCGAAGAACGGGGCATCACGGACGGCTCGTAATCCTGACTCAAACGAACCAGTGGCCACATAGTCATAGAGATAGTGGTTCCAATGCTTTTCCATAGCCATAGCCGAAACTCCCAGCTTGTCCCTTGTAGTCAAAGTCTCGTTCTTTAGCTGCTCCAGCTTCCGGTCCTCCAACCGGGCGATTAGAGAAAGTGCTTCCAACTCCATCATCTGTGGGCAACCCCCCTCAACCTGTAAATGTACAGGATCGCCTTCTGGAGACCACAGCACACATTCCCCTGGCTTCCACACCATCGTGTATCCAAGGGTCTCTATAAGCTTTCCCATCGAAATAATCGTCTGAGCTTGTAGTCCAGGAAGATCCATTGCTGTGGAGGTTTTTCTGGGCGGCATCAACAACGTTCCTGCCGACGTGATACGCATAATGAGTTGATGCTTCCCGCTAGCTGGACTGCTACTTCCTCTGCATTCTCCCACTCACTGGTAGACGCTGCCGTCCGTAAGCTGTGAGTAGCTCCGCTATCAAGCAACGCCGTAGTCGTTTCCATCATAGAACACACTCGAATGTCCCGTAGCTTCAGCACCTTCATCTCGGGACGCGTTTTCTCTGGGGACTGATCTCGAGGTTGCTCGGTGGACTGACCTTGAACCACCTGCTGCGCAGCTTGGATGAGTGTCTCAATGGTCCACGGAGTGCCCTGAACTGGCTCTGCCTGAGTTGATGCCGTAGAGCTGGTTGTCGCTATCGTAGCCATAGTGCTTGGGGTAGTCGGCGATTTTCCACCACCTTGGTCCTTCCCTGCACCTTTAGACTGAGGTTTTCCGGCGGTACACTCACGCTGTCGATGCGCTTCTGACCCGCACCTCAGGCATTTTTTCGCTCGAGTCTCTTTATCCATGGAGGACATGCTATGGCTATAGGTACATCGATCTCCTCGTCGGCATCCTGAAGACTTCGCGAAGTATTTGCAGAGCTCTCCAGAACTTGCAGCTTTTCCACCTGCATCACGTGCCTTGGGCTGCAACACTCCGTCCACTGCCTTGAGCTTTGGTGTAGTTGTAGAAGTCCCCAGACAGCTAGATACCATTGTTTCCAACTCTGCCTGCAGATGTCTTTGATACCCCTGTACGCTCTCAAGGGTAGGTTGTCCATCCAACCTAAGTGTGGTTCGCAGCATTGAGGTCCTGAACGCCGCATCTGTGGACTGGTTGATGTAGCGGTCGGTAAGGTTCATCAAACCCTTTGCCAACACTGAAGCATCCGGTGCACTCATGTTAACGGCCTGACACCTGCATGGCGCGGCCAAGCCCTCACAACCTTGAGCACTTCCTCCACGGACTCACCAGTCAAGTGATTCCTGGGGTTTTGTAACCTCTTTAGTACTTCAGATCTTTCAGCAGATCCGCCCGGCTGAAACAACGTGTGTAAGATTTGCACTGAGCTCTGAGACAATCTCTGTGCCACCATCTCCGTCTTCATTTCCACTGACATTGCTGCGAGCAACATGGACGCCACACGGGCGTTCAGCCTCGACCATCGTCCTTCTGACAGCTTCTCTGCTCCCTGTGGAATGATGCTCAGCCGCTCGAGCGGCGTAGATCTCAACCACCTCTCATACGTCTGGTTCACCATGTCCATCACTGAACACCATCATATCCCGCTCGCCTCACTCACATCCGCAAGCACCGAAGATGACACCTCCAACCAGTCTTGAAACGCCAGCGCTGCATCGCAACCTCCCTTCAACTCTGGTAGTGGAGCCAAAGACGATGTCCCCGGTTTAACGAGCTCTGTAGACATGGATGATGTTGTCCCTTTTGCTACGGCCTGTGCTTGAAGTTCCTGAAGCTGCTGGATTCCCTTTGCTAACCTCCGGGCTCAGTGGCTGTAGCCTTTGCGGGTGGTGTTTGGCGTCTTGGACGTCCACCCCACCACGATCTCAGTAGTCCTGGTGGATCCTCAGCTCCAGCATCCCTAGCCCATGCAAAACTGGTTGCTTCTGCGTACCACTTGTGCCTTGACGTACTCCATCACGATCACCTCCAGGTACTTGAGCTGGTCTTGATACTCCTGGCTCAAGTCGCGGTAGAGGAACATCTTCAGGTGGTAATACATGACTAGGGGGTACACTAGGAAGTGCTGGTACTGTTGAAGCTGGCGGTTCGGTAACAGGATCACCAGGTAATAGTCCAGGGTCTAGTCCTCCCGATGCCATACTCCCTAATAGTCTTGCAGTAGGCGCCGACGTAACTCCCACCCCTGTACGACCTTGGTGAAGATCCTGTAGCTGCTCTCTGGCGTAGTCCAGCTCTGCTTGTAGCCGCTCATTTCGCGCCCCATATTCCCGTAACTGCTCCAACACCCCATGTAACTGCCGCTGCACCTCTGCCTGTATTGCCTCTGCAGGAATACTTGATGACGACGGCGGTGGCGTTGGTGCTGCCGCTAGGGCCGTGCGCGAGCCGGAGATCTCAGCCTGAAAGCTTGTCCCTTCGTTGGGGTTGCATAAACTGGGCTGCTTCCCGGAAACGGACTCGGGGCTAAGTCAGCCGCCATTGTACTCTGACCATGGTTCTCGCATCATCCACCGTGGTACTTCCATTCCCGCCATCCACGAGGGGGGCACTGGAGCCCGCTGACCCGCGGCCGATCGCGGGGTTGTATATCCCAGGGGTACAGCTTCCACCATCTGCTCCACACCACGTGACTCCGGTTCGGGTCTTTCACCCGGCTCCAAGATCGTCGAAGCTGCTTTGTGCTTCGCCTGCCTTGTTCCGGTTGTGACATCCTGCACCGAAGGTGGCTCTGCAGAGCTCCGTCCACGAACCTCCGATGCGTCCGCCATGGCCGGCGGCTCATCGCGAGTCTGCGTGCGCTGCACCTCTGTACCATTGTCTCCTTGGTGTCCTTGGCTTGTATCAGCTGTCACTTCAGCCGTGCCAGTAGCAGCGGAGTCATCACGACCTCCCACTCCGTTGGGCAAACCCACAGTAGAGCTTTGGGCGCTCATAACCTGCAAATCTGCTTTGGCAGATTTATCCAGAATCGCAGCTCACGACTTATGCCAGTAAACCATGGCGCGCGGACATGCAACTCTTTTTCAACGGACACAACAAAACGTCTGAAGTGCTCAAAAACCCTTTGCAGCTCTAGGATGCCTGGGGTGTACAATGTGGCATCCATGTTTCGCTACGGCAAGCATGACTCAAGGGGTTTACTTCGTAGCCGCCCTTGAGTACATCAGCAACAGCACAAGCAGCTGCTTTCAACCACTTCACACCAGCACTGCCATCATGCCTGACATTCTGCACTCCTCTTCCATCCAGCTGCCAAGTCTGGAATGATCACTTCACTTTCAAGGCATGAATAAGTGCACTGATGCGCTTGCGGTCAACTATCTCATAATACTTCATCGTATGCTTCCAGGAGAGATCACGGTCTCGGTATAGCCAAAGAACATAACGAAGCTGGCGAATCGTCGGCCCAGTAGCAGACATAGATATCTGCGACAGCTTCTCGCCCAAGCGTCTTGACAAGTCATCTTTTCGCCCTGAGACCGGCAACCCCTCTGTTCTTAATCCTTCTTTCAAACTATCACAGGTCATCAAGTTGCATGTGTCACAGCAAACCCTGGTGATTTCTGCCGGAGACACATTCATATCTTCACTTCCTGGTGACCACATCGCTGAAGCAGCAGCTGCTCCGGCATTAGCTCTAGGACTCGGGGTTCTCTGTGACAAACTTCTTGCCCTTGGTGACGATGATCTCCGAGACCTCATCTGACTTTCCCCGATCGTAGGTAACGGAGGACCATTCTCGGTAGTTTCCTGCGTCGCTCCCGTCGTAGATCTCCTCGTTGTATCCCAGGGAAACTCACCATGTTGGCTGCTCGAAGACCTTGCCGTAGACGGTTGTGGAATCCCTCTTTCGAACTCCTCCCTTCTGCCAGAAACTCTTGTCGACTCAGTACCCTGAGCCTGATGTGACCCAGGGGATTCTCGTCCCTCAGGTCCAAAGCTTTCTTGTTGCAGTCTTTCAAGCTCCCTTTCGATAGCCGCAGTTGTAGCGCTTTGTAGTTTGCGAAGACGCCGTAGCCGCCTTGCCCCTGAGCCTGGCATCCATTCGTTGTACAACTCAGCCATAGACCACTTCACACCCTCATAGATCAGCAGTACTCCTAGAGCCATCAGCAGGATTATTAACAGGCCTGCCGTGTCCCAGTCAATCTGCAATCCTGGAGCACGGGAAGCATTCTCGGTCTCAGCTGCTTTAACCGACAACATCAGCAAGCAACAGATAACAGCCAGCAAGCCCCTCGCTGAAACCTTCATTGCCGATGTAGGTTGACGCCGCCGACACCCTTTATCACCAATTGACCACCACTGTAGTAGCGCTTCAAGCCGAGCTGAGCTCAGGGACTTCGTAAGGAAATCAGCTGGCTGCTTCTCCCCTGGCCAATGAATCACCTCAAACAAGCCGCTGGTGACTTGTTCTTGTAGCCACCCCGCTTTTATTCGTAGATGACGTGTTCTCCAAGAGCTCGATCCTATGGATATACTCATAGCGGCCGTTGAGTCTGTTGCAATAGTTCGGGACGCCACATGCTCCCCAACTTCCGCGATCATCGCCTCTGTGCTCTTTGTTGCCACTGCTCCATCTAGCAGAGCCAGCAACTCCGCCTCTGCGGTACTCAATGTGATCATGCTCTGACGGCTGCTCCTCCATGCTATCGGAACGCCTCCGTAGGTCACAACCCAACCTCCATGCGAACGCGATCCCTGAGGTGCATAGGACGCATCCGAATACATGACCAGCCCTGAGGATGACCATTTCACAACCAAGTTATAGTTGATCGTCCTTTGCAAGTAGCCCAGGGCCTTCTTCCCAATCTTGATCGATTGCCGCGGGTGTTTGGCGCACATGGTAGCCATCATGCATGTGGTATATGCCAAATCAGGCCGAGTTCTCTGGGATATCCACAATACCTCCCCCATAATCTGCTGTGCCTCCCGAATAATCCCCACATCCTCCTCCTCAGGGGTGCTGGGGACAACCGCGAGCTCCTTTGTGATGGGGATGCGATCTTGACTTGTAGTGGTGACGCCATGAAGTCGTAGTAGTTCTTGAATATATCCATGTTGTCCCACCAGGATCTCTTCTGAATCCTCAGACTCACGCTGCAACTCCATTCCAAGGAACCTGACTGAGCTACCAGGCCCCAGAAACGTCAGCTCAGACGTCTCCCAAACATCTTTGACCGCCGTTCCAAGCTCAGTGACGATTTCTCGTGGGCCACAAATCATAAAGTCGTCCACGTACACCACCACTATAGCAGCCACTGCACCACTGGTATCGAGAACTGACCACCAGGATGTGACTGCTTTGCCCTGCTTCCACTTCAAACCACGAGGTGTCTTCAGCTCCTGCAACGTGTCATCTCGGAAACTTCCCCGCAACATGGGAGCCTCTCTGAGGCCGTAAAGGGCTTTCAGCAAGCCCCACAATTCCATTTTCACAGAGATCCCCAAAGCTTCTAAAAGCCTCGGGGGTTGAGCGATCACAACCGGGTTCTGAGGAACGCAGCCACCACGTCTAAGATGGCTATGCACCATCGATTGCGGCTTGACATTGCTAACCCCGCGCGGACAGCTTCGGCGGGAGCAGTTTCTGCGTAAACCTGCGACCCGTCATTCACTGCGAAGTTTCCGCATATAACAAGTCTTGCTTTTCGTTTGTACCACGTGTCTGGTCGCTGTGGGTCCGCGTTGTCATTCGGCTTTACTGTAAAAACAAACTTCGTCGGTAGACGCTGCACTCCAGGCGTACTCAACCATCTCTTACGAGCCTCTGAGCCAGGATGTAACTTCTCAATAGCACCTTCGATGCCCGCAACCTCTTTGAGAATAGCTGGACGCCACTGCTCCAAACATGCAAACACTTCATCTGGGTGTACTGTACGCGTCACATCCAAAGGGCTCGTCAAACCAGCCAGTATCTGCTCAATATTCCTGGTGTAGCTGACTTCGACCTTTTGCAGTCGCGGGCCACCAAAGTCATCCTCAACGGCATCCGCTATCTTGACTGTGCCAGGTTCTAAGTCCAAATACAACGACCAGTCTGAGTCCTCGCTCCAGTCCTTCACCGTATGGTCCTCCGTGGTGATAGCTGCCACCTGTGGAGATCCTTCCAGTCCACCACCGCCCCCATAATACTCAGGAAGCTGCGACAACGGGACAGGAAAGCCATGATCATGTAGCATCTCCAAATCGCATTGATCCAACTTCCCAAGACAATTGGGTGTGTAGGCAATGATCACCGTCCTCTTCCCAGTCCACTCGCACACCTCGTGATATCGCTGCGGTCCAAAGGAAAAACTTTCACCTGGTAGTAGATCACGTAGCTGACCATACACCAACTGCTTTCCCACATCACGCTGGTCTATTGGGCCGCACACAACATCACCTGACTTCAACTCTACCCATAACTCACCACCACTGACAGGGCAAGCCACCGGCACCACGTAGTTCTTTGTAAGGTAGTCATTGTTGAAGTCCTTGTGCATCGCTCTTGTCGTATTGTGTGAAACCAGTATTGAGGTAAACGCAGCCCTCTGGATCCATTTCCACCACAATCCTCGCCAGGACCTTGGTCAGCGCGGGAAACTCCTTTAAGCCGGTAAGCCAGCCCACTGTACCTCCATGTCGGTAAACTCCAAACTTCCTTGTGCCAAAGAAACCCTCATCCGCAAGCTCAGTCACTAACGCCAATGCCCGACTCATGGTCCAATCCTCGAGAACTTGCTCCGCTCCCTTTGTTGCCTGAGTGACCACATCCACGGGGTCAACGCGAGCCTCCCTCATCTCAATCCTTTCTGGATCCATTTTTTCGGGGACTCTCCTCCTGGGCTTTGGATTCTCCTCGCCACGAAATTCCTCTTGCGGTGCTCCAGGATCGACCAAATTTGGACGAACATGCATAGTGTGCAGAAACTTCTCGGGCTCCTCCTCGGTAGCTGGAATGTACACAACGTGACCGTGGTGGACAATTGAGCTGAGTCCCACATATCGACCCATCCAGTTCTCGCCTAAGTGGGCCC